TCACACGGCAACGGAACACAATAGTTGTTTCCATGAACTATATTTAGTATTGACACTTGACACTTGACGTCTCCGATCACGATTTGCCTGGTAACCTCATTGTATTATATACTTAGCTACTTAAGTTCACACGGTTCAACAAACAGTATAAGTAGAGTAGCTATTCACTTGTAGTTCTTTAGTCTTTTATTCGATCATCTTTTCGAGATCACTTGCACCTCCCAATCCACTCTCTTGTAGAGTTGGACGCAAGCCTTGACTGTGACAGTTGGACCTTGTCATGTAATCTTTCTCACCTACCTACCTCCTTCAGTTTCAAAGCACACACGGCTAGTGGCAGCAATTTGAAGCAATTCATTTCTGGACTCTTTCAGACACATCTCTTATTATTTGCATGAATGCTACGAGGCCCGTGGCAGATAACACCCAGTTGATCCGTTCATAAACTGAGGCAAACAGCAAAACAGTCCCGCCTGCCCGGATCGAACGGGCGGCCTCGGGATTACGTAGGTAACCTTTACAGTCCCACGCTCTGCCAACTGAGCTAAGGCGGGATGAAAGCATGTCGGGCAAGTGCAGACTAGGGGGTCGGGGAGAGAAGTCTAAAATTAGTACATCATCTTACCTTGCGCCGGCGAGCCACGAAACTTGGCCAGATTTCCTTCGGCAGACGGAGCTGGGATTTATACCTTGTATACTACACGCTCAGATACTTTCAGAATTTCTCAGAGGGGCAGTGGAACGATATTGACTGGGACGTGAGTCGGTTGTATTTAGTAGGGTCACACGTGACACAACGTCACCGAATCCTCCCTTGCATTTACTGCGCACCTTGGAAGGCTCCTAGGTGTGCGATTTTGTCAGAGGGTGGCAGGCATGTAGATCTACATTCCTTAAATTTTCTAGGGCATAGGACACAAAAACGAGGTTCCCATCAACGAAACTGTTACATCAGGTGCTGTAATAGGGGCTTCAAATTTCATTGGAGCGAGGGAAGCATGGAGGAAGAATGCATATGGGACGCGCAAGAGGCATTACGACTCCGACTCCGGCTATGATACTTTGGACGTTGTACAGTATGTGCATGAGTTATAAGCTATTCCGTCCTGGCTTGGCTTCATCTTCAGTCTGTCTGTCCGCACCACATCCACATCCACATCCACATCCCCATCCCCATCCCCATCCACCTACATCCATCCCGCGCCCCACTCCTCGCGCCAAATCCACCCGCCTCCTCCTTGTCCTAGGCGGTCCTCACTCCGCATGCCCCCCCTCGCTCTCGTCGCCCGGGATCTCATCGAGCTGCACCGCACCGCACCGCATCAGTATCTCATGGAACGGCGAAGAAGGACAACGGAGAAGCAGAACAGCGAAGATGCCGCAGACGCCGAAGAGGGGGGAGGAGAGGAGAAAAACAAAAGAAAGAGAAAAAAATAAAGAGCCGAACGCACCAGATCCAGATCAACAAGACACTCCCCGATAATGCGCACCGCGGTCCTCCTCCGCGATCACCAGCGGCGGCGCGAAGCGCACACTGCAAAAAAAAAAAAGAGAAACGTCAGCGCTCTTCTCTATCTCGGCTCCCGCTTCTCCTCGCCGCAAGAGGACAAACGATAGAGGGCAGAACAAAGCACGCACACATCCGGCTTCGCCAGCACGCCGCGGCTCTTCAGCAGCAAGCACAGCTGCCACGCGCTGCGCCCCCTCGTGCTCTTCGCAGCGTCGAACACGAGCGCGTTGAGTAGGCCGCGCCCCCGCACGGCGCGCACGAGCGGCGCGCGCAGGTCGCGGAGCGCGCGGCGGAAGAGGGCGCCGAGCGCGGCGGCGCGCGGGGCGAGCTGCTCGTCGGTGAGGACGCGCAGGGCGGTGAGGGCGACGGCGCAGGCGAGGGGGTTGCTGGGGGGCGTTAGTGAGGGGAGTAGGAGTGGGAAGAGGGGGTGGGTGGGACAAGGGGGAAGGGGTTAATTGGCAGCGGAGGCGGTCGTTCGTGAGCTTGGAGGGGAGGAAGCAAGGGACGGGCAAGAGAGGGCAGGGAGGAACGGAAGGAAAGACAAAACGCACCCGCCATACGTGCTCCCATGCTCGCCGGGCTGGATGCACAGCATGACCTCGCGGTCCGCGAGCACGGCCGACACGGGGTACACACCGCTCGAGAGCGCCTTGCCGAGCAGCACGACGTCGGGGCGCACGCCGTCGTGCTCGCACGTTAGTATGAGGAAAGGAGGGAAAGAGGGGGGAGGGGAAGGGGGCGCACGGTCTGTATCTCGTCGCAGATGAGGAGCACGTTGTGCTTCTTGCACAGCGCGTGCACTTTCGTCAGATAGCCCTCGTCCGGCACCACGATCCTAGCACCAATGAATACGAGAGTAGGGAGGAAGGAAAAACGCGACGCACCCCGCCTCGCCCTGGATCGGCTCGACCAGGAACGCCGCGACGTTCGCGCCGTGGAGCTCAAGCGCGCGTTCGAGGTCGCCGACCTTGTTGAAGCGGATCGTGCGCACCGCGCCGCCGTCGACGAACGTCGGCCCCACGCCCGCGAGGAACGGCTCGAAGCCCGCGCGCGACTCCGGGTCAGTGCTCATGCTGCGCTCATCTCATCAGCCCTCTTCAACCTATGCAGTAGCAGTGTGCGCACCTGATCACGCCCAGCGTGCGCCCGTGGAAGTTGCCCTCAACGCTCAGCACGAGCGCCTGCCCCGTGGGCACGCCCTTCTTGAGGTACGCCCACTTGTGTGCGAGCTTCACGGCGGTCTCATGTTCGGCGCTCCCCCGCGCTCCGCCTGTCCATGACGCAATGTCGACCGGCAAGGTTTCTGTGGGGGCCGTTGGCTGTCGGCGACAGCACGCCGGCGGATCGAACGGGCGGGCTACTCAATTGTGCGCGCCGTGTTCGTGCTCCAGGCGTATCACGTCCGCCGACGTCAGGTGCGGCGCCCCGTTGCCGTTTTTCGCCTTGACGAGCTTGCCGTTCCCGTTCCTGGTCGCGGCGCCGTTGGTCGGGCTTGTGGGGGGTGCAATAGCGGTCGGGGACATGATTGGCCTACTGGTGAGTAGTTCTCTGTGGTTGTGGTTGTGGTGGTGGTGGTGGTGGTGGTAGGGGTGTAAGAAGCAGCAGGGTGAAGCGAGTGTATGGCAAGGTAGATACATAAATCACCTCTATCGCTATGTAGATTAGATTACTCCTAATCTACACTGCCACCTGTCATCTCTCGCCCTGGACGTCTCTGCGCATAAGTCTCTTCACAGACTCATCTCGACCCTCAAGTCTTCTCTTTTGCTTCACACAGACTCAGAATTTCCACCTCTCACTGCGGTCTCGCTCTCCCACCCAGCCGACTTCGACACCGATGCGCATATGACGCGCCCACATCGCCTCTCTTCCTCACTTTGCTCTCAAGAACACGAACACGGAAAATGTCAGCATTGAAAGCCGAGCAAAACCTGCATCGCTTATACGCGTACCTTCGCGACTGTGTGCGCTGCTGGCAACATCGGCACTTGGATGTCGTTGCCAAGATGCTGCCGTACTAAGAGTACTCCGACGAGGAGAAGGCGCTTCTTGTCGGGTCTGCGGAGGTCGTCGCTGCTACTGGCCCTCTCCCATCTACATGACGATGTGGTTTGCTGCCGAGCAGTTGAAGGCTTCCGCGGCCGAGGCGACGAAGAAGAACAAGCGCGAGAAGGAACGTGAGGCGGGAGAGACCTATCAAGGGTATGTTTCTCATTGAGAACCCCCACCCCATCTCCGGGATAGACCAAACCCGGCCAACACACACATTGGGGAGGGCAGCACATTGCGATCATCCACAGCACATTCACCCAAAAGGCCGCACATCTGCCGGTGCATGTGCTGTCCTTAGTGATGTGCAGGGCCCGGCTCGGCCTGGAAGCCCGGGCTTGGGCTCGGCTTGAGGCGGCTTGGGCTTCAGATATCCCAAGCCCGAGCCCGAGCCCTGAGGCAGGGCCTCAAGCCCGAGGCCCGGGCCTGAGCCCGGGCTTCGAACCATATATTCGGACAACGGCATTAGGAGACTTCTAGTGGTGTGTACATTGATTATATACATTATAATTGCATATCTACAAGCGAAGAAGGGTCAGGAACTGTGGTACAAGGTAATTCCTTCACCCTGGACACCGGTGATGACCTGGTAAATCCTGTTGCACCTGGTAGCTTTGGTGATGGTTTTGGGCAGAGATTTAGAAAGGCTGTCGATACGATCAAGGAGGGCTTCCATCGCCGCAACTGGGGGTGCAATGGTGTCAAAACGACGCGACTTGACGCGTCAACAGGTTACTCACAAGCGGGTTCACCATTCAAGGGATCAGCAGCCGCTTTGCGCAATCGAGAGCCGTTCACAATGAGGGTTGGGTCCGGATTGTCGCGGGAGCCGCGGGGGGCCATGATGGGAGAGAGTGGGAGCTCGAGGTCACAAATTCGTGACATTTTTATACTCTCGAGATGCCGAAAGGCGGCTTGCGATCTTAGAGGTGGATTAGGTGTATCGGTACATACTCCGTGGGCCCGCCGCCTTCTCCGTATGCTTGTGATTTTCAACTTACTAAGTTTAACCCGCGTTAGAAATCCGTATTATGTGTAGTGATCTACCACCCAAATTGGGCGTGTAGGCCGGGCTTCACGGCCCGGCTTGGGCTTGAGATTCTGAAGCCCGAGCCCTGGGCCCGCTCAAGCCCTGCGTCGGGCTCGGCTCGGCTCGGGCTTGGCCCGGCCGGGCTTGGCGGGCCTAGGGCTTGAAGCCGAGCCCTGCACATCACTAGCTGTCCTCGGTTAGGTCTGGGTGGTTAGAAGTTAGGGTTAGAGGTTAGTGGTTAGTGATTAGTGGTTAGCGGTTAGTGGTTAGAGTTAGAGGTTAGTGGTTAGCAGTTAGGGTTAGAGTTAGAGTTAGTTCCCAGGTATATTGTAATACTGTTGCGGGAGGACTTATGTCGGTCTTGGGCAAAATTGATGGCCGATCAAATTCTGATGCGCGTTCCGATCCCAATCCAGACCGTGTCAGCGACCGAGTACGAGTGGCACATAAAGTCTTTCGCGAGTTTCGATTGTTTCGAGGACGGGCTATTCTCCCGGTGTGGTACACGGTGGAGCGAAAGCTCCGCTACGCCATTTTTGACGGTGGCCTTTTCGATGCTCGTCTCCACGAATCGCGCGTAGACAATGCGTGCTCAAATTTCGACCACATGCGCGATTTGGGTGCGGGTTTGTGTCCACCCCGCTGGTCACGTCTCTCGCGGCCGATGTTTGAGGCGCCTCGCAGCTGTTGCGTTCGACGGCGGGCCCGCTAAGGCTCCACATCATAGTCAAGGCGGCAAGCGCTCAGTTTCCGTGACTGGGGACGTCGGAGGCGGCTCCCGTGGTCGCAGCAGAGCACCTCGCGACCCTTCGGACTCCTGTGATCGTCCGCCGCCCTCTCTAATTTGTTGTGATTCTCATACGTTGCATTTCAGGACCGCGCCCGCTCCTCTGCTCCATCCGCGGCAAAGACATGCGCATGCGCGCAACATGGTCCCTTCGAGGTTCTCCAGAAGTGCTATCTGT